TAAGCTCTGAATAATATATATTTTTCACAAAACAGCCTTTCAATATAATATGCATTTGTATGCAGTGATCACATTAACTGAACTTTATTGATTGGATAATTAGAACGTTAAGTCTAAAAAGAGGTTGATTTATGAGCAGTAAAAACGGGTCTTTTCACCTCTCATTATCAAATCGATTAGGTTTGAATTGGAATATCACCTTTTAGTGCTTTTGTGAGGTCGTCTGCAAAAAAAAGCAAAAAAGCAAACTTTATGGCACCGAAATATGACTTCCAAATTAAAGTGCCTTAATCTTATCAATTTTCAAATCTAACAATATTAAATTATTAAATATTAATACAATATATTAAACCATCAACATAACTTATCCATCATTGCATTGCAATATTCATTGTATAGTAATGTCCCACTTCCACCTATTTCCTCCCTTTTTGTCACTTGGAGTACATCAATTCGCATATGAGCAATAATAATGTCTCTTCGATCATCAGCTCACAAAATCATAATAAAAATTTCATGCTGTATATTTCAATAAAAAAGAACCAAACATATGTACATTATCCTTTTTAGACTTTTTTATACTTCTAAGTTACTCGATTTTGCTAATTTTTCCGGTAGAAAACTTGTATCGAGAAAGATCATTAATTAATATGGGATTAATCTTCTGGCCAGAATGTTTAGAGTGAACCGGAGACCATATGCCACTTCGTTCACTATTATAAGGTACTTTTTAAGAATAATGATTATTTACGTCACGAAAATTGGGTATTAATTACATTTTACTGAACTAATTATTTTGTTAATTACGATGCACTAAGCTTGAATTATAAATTTAAGTCATGCATTGCAAGTACTAAAATTGGTATAAACTCCTTTTGGTCTTTTTGTTATAAGGCATATATACTTTATAAGAGAAATTGATGTTGCTTATTATAAGTCATTTGATAAAATATTGATTAAGTTTTTTAATTTCATCTTTATTTGAAGTCGTTGGCCATGATGAAGATTGTAATACAAATATGAAATTTTTTTATTTAAACATGAGTAAAATCAGAAATTTATTCCATGTTCAGGCAGAGTTAATGACTCAATCAGCATCTCTTTCATTTTGATGGGATGATCAGGGATATCTGGTAATAGGAATGCAATATAGCATAATAGTAATACTACCTTTAGTCCTTCATAGTTAATATAAGAGTTAGATAACTAATTTAAAAAAATTAAAAAAATTAGTTAAGTTAGTTAATTGTAACAAATGTGTATTGACTTTCTTAAACTATCTTTTTTAATCATGTACATTAGAATTATTTCTTAATGGAAACTCCTCACATTCAATAGAGATATTTGAGATGAAACAATATAGATTTAAGAGACAAGTGAATTGATGTTTTACGTTTAAGATCAAATTTAATCATCAACTAGCTTTTATATTAAGAACCGAAGATAATCTTATACTAAGGTGGGTATATAGAAAAAAACAAATAAAACAAATCCTATATACGCACACATACTATACAAGACAAGAGAAGAGAACCGCAAAGTTTAAATTGAGGAGTGGTGCAGAGTGAATCTGAAAAGTGAGTTGGACAATTTTGGGTGACCTGAACATGAGACACAAAACATATATTACATACATACTAAAGAATGTGTTGTGATGATCACTTATTCTCACATATATTCAAGGGTTTTTCACCATAATGGAAACGAGGGAAATTCAACTAGAAACATTGAAAAGAGGATTTGAGAATTAGGCATCAATTTAAGAGAAGGAGCTAGCATACACTACACACACACACACACTCACAGATATATATATATATATATATTTATATGAGAGATGAGAGAGAGAGAGGAACAGATATAGGAATCTACTTTTTTTTTTTTCCCCAGAGAGGAGATTGAAGAGAGAGTACGAGTGAGCTGGGCCAAGCAGGTTCTGAGGGCACTTGCATCATATGATTACTATTTACTGCTTTCCCTTTATAACTTGTTGCCATCATCATCAGCTTCTTCTTCTTCCCCTCACAAATCAGAATGATTGTTTCTTCCTCACTTCATTTCCCAACCCCTCTGTCAAAAGCTGCTTCTACCCTCCCCATCTATTTTACCATCATATCATTACATACTATATATATGTGTGTGTGTGTGTGTATTCCGACACTCCCAATATTATTAAACATAGGCTTATTAATAATGTCCAATTTTTTCTCGTGAACTCCCCCCCCCCCCACACACACATATTGAATTATCTAAAAGTTAAGGATGATCTAAAAATGGAGTGGTGTAACTTTAGTTAAACATCCGTTACTTTGACTATTAATTGACCAAGAAAACCGCAGAAAGGCCTCAAAAAATATGAATAAATACTCTACGAGAAAATTAATATCAATTAAATTCTCAAAATTATAATCAAATGTCAAGAGACTAATATCGACTCTTCGACTATTTATCTATTGAGTGATTTATTGCATAACCATTGCCAGAAACAACACTGGTAAGTAGTTAAATTAAAAAGAAGTATCATATTTATTTTAATAATATCTTATTAAAGTATTAATACTTTAATATTTAATAAATTAAATAACTTTGTTATCTATAGATCTTCACACAATTTACAAGTGACGTGTTAAAATTTACAAGCCAATTTGCAATATTAGTCTGACGCGCCTCAAACCCTTCAAACCTTCAAACTCTTTCATTACTTCATTTCATTAATTGTTTCAAAAGACTGGAAATCTAGATCCCGAAATGAAGGCCAAAAAGAATATCTAGATCTCGAAACACTTCGACAATCTGACGAACAGTATTTCTTTTTTAACGAAAAGACATAAAAATACGAACATTCTATTTCAATTCGGGACCATCACGCACCATAAGTCTGATTGTACTTAACCTTTCTTTGAAATAACAATGTGGTACGAATATATTTCAAAAAAATTCATTAGTCTTATTGTACTTAACCTTTCTTTGAAATAACAATGTGGTACGAATGTATTTCAAAAAAATTCATTTATGTGTTGTAATTAATACAAATGTTCATAATGAACGCCTCTATATTATAAAGCACATAATTGTTTTAAAGAAATAATATGTTGCACAAGCCTTTCATAATATTTGTTTAAAATTATATTCTTATCGGATTTTTCAACCAAAAATAACAAGTAATGAGCACATTTTACCAAAAATTAAAAAAAAACTAGCAACATAAACCTCTGGCCAAAATACAAATAACTTCCTCCAATATATACATGGAATTGAACTGTGATTTCATTTTTTTTCACTCTAAAAAATTGGCCATAAATCTATCAAAGTCCTTAATATTTTTGTGTAGCACAACGCATTTCTTATCTCATCCCAAATCATATTGACTCTTAACAAATAATGTTAATTAAGTTAATTAATGGCAAACCCAAAAAAGAGTCCCAAATCTTTGTTCATTAATCGAGCATGAATCACTCAGTTGATTGGCTAAACCAGCATTCCACCAACTCACTTACAGAGGGAAAGAAACAAAAACAAAAAGCCATCGTAGTTATCAGCCTCATCAGGCCATAACTTTATAGTATTATATATATATAACTCGAAAAACTCGTATACAAAGTGTGCTGTGTTTCAGAAGAAGAATGATAACCAGAGAGAAAGAGTCGTGAAGGAACCCCAAAAAAAAAAAAAAGAAGAGAAGATAATATTAATATAAGCTGATTTTTTTTTTTGGGAGAAAGATTTAATCTTATAGGAAGTGGTCCCTTTGGTGACCTGACTAATAATGTCCTTTTGTATTCTTTTGACCTGCTTTGACCGTATACCATATTCCCTGCAACCCCAATGAAAGCTAGCTAGCTCTCTATAGAGACAAACTCATAGAGTGGTCCGCCATCTCTCTCTCTTCCCTTTGCCTGTGTTGTGTGTGCGTGTGAGATTCCCCAGTAGCTATAATGATGAATCCTCCGAACTCTTCTTTCCCTTCTCCTTCACTGCTACAATTATGCCCTTTTTCTTTTCCCATAATCACACACACACACAAACACATAATCCTTCTTCACTTTTCACAACGCTCCCTGCCCAGACGTGCGTCTCTGTACCTTCTCTCTCTCTCTCTCTCTCTCTCTCTCAAACTATTCAGTAGTATTCCTGTTCCTGACATCTCTCCTTTTTCAGACTCCTCCATCTCTTAAAAGCAGTTTCTTCAATCTCTCTCTCTACATATAAATAATTAAATATAGATTTGCTTGATCTGTTTCAACTTTCAAGTTTGAACTTTAAATAACTTGTTGATAGTAATATATAAAGGAACTTATGCGATAATAATGTGTGTGTGATGGGGAAGAAGAAGACGGAAGGAGAGGTGGGGATCCTGTGTGTTGTGTAGCATGGAGCTATCTAGCTCTGCTACGTACAAAACGTGCTTATAGGACCATGCCCTACACTATACTTCCCAGGTAAGCCTAAGCTAGCTTCTTGTGGCCCCTCTCTCTCTCTCTCTCTCTCTCTCTCTCTCTCTCTCTCTCTGGGTCTGGTCGTGCCTTAGGGGAAGCTGGTTTATTTTCATACCAGTTATGGCAACATATATCATTACAATGTGCCAATCTGGGAAGCAGAAACAGATATTCATCTATCTTGTGATTTCTTTTCTTTTCTAGTACTTTCTCTACTTATCATCATGTTTCTTCTCTTCTCATGTTCATGTCCTTCATCTGGGTTTGATTTTTAGTGTCTATGCTATGAATCATTTCCTTTATAAGAGCCACCACATGGATGTATATGACTAAGTACACTTTTAATTCATATAGTTTTCATTATTTCATGGACGGATTTCTATATTCAAGTGTAACGAAAGAGATTGCTGGCTGTGTATAAAGTGAGTGAGTTCGCTTGCTCACAAGAACTTACGCATATTGATCGATGCTTAACGGTTTGTGTCTCACTAATTTCTAGGTTCGCTTAATTATCACATTATTAATACATGAAGGATTTAGATACATACACACCCAGAAAACATGTTTCGGCAATATATATATATATATATATATATATATATAAAACAAACACCCATTTGGGCACTATTCAGCTAGGCTTAATTGGCGAGGGAATGTGAGGTTCTACAAAGGAATCTGGAACAGATAAGAATATCTGGTAGATTCAATTTCTGCAAAGGAATTTCACAGACTGATTAATGATACAAACATGTTATGTCGTCTTCATTTTTTTTAAGGCAACCTGATTAAACAGCCGAGCTTTACACTTCATAATCCATAATATTAAAATCTCGTGTGTGTAATCCCAGAGATTAAGTGGCCATCGACTTCTGAAAGATGATAATAATTGATAGGATTAATTACAAACAATCAAATAAGATTTGTTTCAAAAAATAATAAAACTGAGATGGGATCAGATGACTAATTAACCCTCATAGAATAGTTACTATATTCTCACGAGGATGGCATTTAAAGGATAGTTTTTCATTATATCCTCATCATAATCTTTGTGTGTGTGTGTGTGTGTGTGTGTGTGTGTGTGTGTAAGCCATGTAGCCGAGAGAAACAACCATAGAAAAGTCTTACATGTGCACAAGTCATTCATTCACACTAGGGCAGCTAAACGAAGAATTGAAAAAAAATCGTTAAGATTAGTCTTTGAAAATAACATAATTAGTTGCCCCTAATTAAGGAAGTGAAGTTTTCATCATTTCAGTTGTAAGAGACAGACAGGACTGGTCATCAAAACATGAAATGAGCAGTAAGAAATTAATTATAATATTTTTATAACTTCCATGGTAACAATTGTCAGGGAACAATTTCTAGCTAATTCTTGTGGGTTATCCCATGAAATTCCTCGTCGTTTCAAGAGTAGCCAAATGATTATACAAGTCATGGAATAATAAATAGCAGCAAGAAGGGAATAATATCTTTTCCCCACAAGTTAACGTTCTTCTGCAACTTACATATTGACTATGCAGACGCAGCAGCAGAAGCAGAATAATCATCATCTTCTTCCCCAAATTAAACCCAATAAAAAAACCCTAAAAACGCAATTTTTTTTTTTGAAGCTGAAGGAAAAAAATAATAAAAAGAGATAAACATGTACCTTTGCTCAGTCGTGAGGAAGCAGATCGCTGTGGCTTTGAAAATGACAATGCCGTGCTTGCTTTGTGGTTGGAAATAACAAGACCTAACCGTATATTATATGTGTATATTACCCTTATGACCTCAATAATATATCAGTATTACTCACCCTATATATATCTATATGATTAATCAACAAAATATTGTCTCTAAAAATCAAGTGAAAAACAAATAATATATACATGTAGGTGCCTAAATATGCAAATTCGATGATATATGAATTATCGTATCCATGTATGTACATGGAATATGCTTGGCTCCTCATACGCCATCCACGGAGGCCATCGATTCTCCGGTGGGCTCTGCAAATGGCATACAGGGAGCCAGGCACATACTCATAATTTCACATGCATACACAATATATATATCTCTGTGTCAGTGTCTGTGTGTGATATCTGATTATCCTGAGCCGACATGAAAGCTACATAATCTTTCTCTCAATTCAAACCATGATATATGTCTGAACGAGAGGAAGAAGATGAAAAGAAAGCCACAGATATAACAGGATGCTGCTGCACGGCACAACCTTATTGTGAGATGCAAGTAATTTGTTCAAGAGAAATAAGGATCTCTCGGTGAAAATAAGAATCCAAAACAACATGATGATGACGAGGGAGGAGGAGAAGGAAGTTTGAAAACCAGGAGAAAGAAACAGAACTAGCCAGGTGCTGATATCTCTCTACATATACCAGCTTCATCATCAAGAAGAAGAAGAAGGTAGAGAGATCTAAGAGAGAGAGAGGTAGAAGAGGGAAGAGTGGAGGGGGAGAATTGGAGAGAAGGAGGTATATATTGTTGAGGTGGGGGAGCAAGAGAGATCTGAGAGAGATTATATTGGGGAAGCGATGGAAGAGGCAGATAGCTAGGTTAGCTAAACTGGCTAGGTCATAATCAAATATTTGGGGAAGGCCTTCAAAAAGCCCCACACAAACAAAAACCCTACTTAATTGGCATAAAACTAGCAAACCCAGTAAGCTATAAAGCATAAACGTAGGGGAAAAAAAGGAGATTAAAGAGTCTCTCTAATAATAGTTTGTGGCTTTCACTTGCAAATAGGAGACGAAGATAACATGTGGGGTTCCAGTTGAACCCAGCCCCCTAAATATAGAGAAACACACAGGAAAGAGAGAGAAAGAAACAGTACAATCAAATTCTTAACACAAAGTATATTATTATTCATTCCTTATGCTGTCTCTTGAATTTAAAATCACTATTCTTACATTTCTTAATAATAATGATCTGTACATTTAAATATAATATAAAGGCTCTGCAGTGAGTAATGAACAGTATAACTATTTTTTAAAAGATTTTATATTATTAAAAAATATCTGAAAATTATGTATAGGTAAGTTAAAGTTGTGGTTGGACTACTAACCACGCAATTTCCTAAGCTAACCTCTCATGGCGTGTTGTGTGTGTTTGAAATCTCCTTTTCTGGGTCGCAAAGGTAAGTGTGCTTTTCTATTCTCTGAACTTCATTTTTGTCCGCGAGTGCTTGGAACACATATGGATTCCTCCTCACTCCTATCAACTTTATTTATATTAAGAAAAGCTAAAAGGAAAAAAAAAAAAAAGGAGGAGGCAGGGGAGGGGGGAGAGAGAAATAAAGCAAGAAGGAAAATATTATACCCTATAGTTCTCTCTTCTTTTTCCTCTCTCTCTCTTTCTTACTTTCTATGGGATCATATTATTATATTACCAACTGATTATGCTCCCAGCACTGTGATTGAGGGACAGCTTTGCACCATTCTTTCTCTGTTTAGATTTTAGAATAATCACTTACTAGTTACTACCCACTGCTCACCCAATTCCATTACGTACTTCCGTTTCTGTCCATTCAGCTTTCAGATCACTCACACACACACACACACATCTGTGTGTATATTTTCCTAGCTATTAATTATACCTATATCACATACTATAATTGTAGTATTTGTATATCCATGTGTTTTAAAGAAGTGAAGTTGTTTGGGCTAGATCATTGAAACCTTGGAAAAAAGTAGTTGAACTGCTCATATAATCATTTGTAATTTGACTATTTTTTTTCATTTCTTGCACCTCAGTATAGGTTAATTGATTTTGGGTCCTTGATTGAGAAACTTATTAGTTAAAAAACCTTGATTTTTGAGCATGCATAACTATTTTTTAGTTACATGTAGCATATCTTCGGTTATGTAAAAATGACTTTTATTTTTAAGATTTTTGTAAATAATTAAAGATAGACTATGCATAATTTTTAAAAAAGTTGTTGGATTAAAGATAAGTTGCATTCACTTCCTTTGATTAATAAATTTTCTAAATAAGAAATTTCCACCAAACTTCTTGATTTTATTTAGTCTGAACCTCGACAAATTCTTTTTAAGAAAATATGAAATAATTAGTTGAAAGAGATAAATCTGAGCACCAGAAAATAATTTGTGGTCATAATTTAATTTTAGTGGAGAAAAAGCAAGAAAAGAAAGGAAAGAAGAATTGATGGGGGACAGGAGGGGCTTTATGATGTGATTTACAAATTGATCATGAAATGAAATGTGTCCTTGTGAATTTTTCTTTCTGCTGCTTTATTCAAAGGATCTGGGAACAACTATATATTTTCACTTCACTTTTTCATGTTTATCTTCAAACATAAATTAATAAAAACATATATAAAATTGGAAAGGTTTAAAAAGGTCGGTTTGCATAATGATTTCATTTCAAATCATGTAGTTAAATAAATAGTCTTTAAAAGATTACACACACTCCACAATTTTTGACAAATAATAACTTTGACTGACTTTTGTTCTGGAAAAGTAGAACATTCAACCCCATGAGCGCAATCATATCAGTCTGCTTAGGATATGGGGAAAATCATGTAAAATAAAATAAAACAGAACATTAGTATTATTTTTTTTTTGAGTAAAAAAATTTAAGTGAGTTAGAACAGAGAGCTCATCAGGGTTAATGTATGTCTCTAATCACAAGGAGCACTTGCAAAAGTACTTAGAAATCGAGTACTAACAAGGTTCTCACATCAATAGTAGAATTTGAATTTATGGCTTTATAGGTTATAAGTCTACTTCTTGTTAACTAGACCAATTTTTTTATTATTATTAAAATAAAATCTCACCCATGCTAGACCTACGGCCCCAAATGGTGACAGGAGGAACAGCAATCAAAGTTGCAAAAGCAAAATCAATTATTATTATTCTTATTATTATTTAAAATTATTATAGTCTTCTCTAGATGTTTTGATATCAATAGTGCAGAGAAAGCATAAATTTGCTTTATTCCTAACAAAAAGAAAAATCTGTTTGCCTTCTGGTTTTTATTGACTAAATAAGTGGTGAGGAGTGTAATAATGTACCCTTTCTTGGGGTTTCTAAGTGTGATCGATATTTCAATTCTCCTGGTCTTTTTTCCCATTAACTTTAAAGACGAATTGAACTAATATGTTCCCCTATAATAAGTTTACAAGTTGTTTGATGGCCAAATTTATTTTTTGATATTTATGTTTTATTAAATTGTGGCTTGTAAATATTGTAACTGCTTATAAATTTTACATTTTATATTACTCCTTATGATTAAAGCCCTTGATTGATGGATATTTTTTCGCATGAGTCTAGTTATCTTTATCTTAGTTTTTATTTAAATATTCTTAATTGAGTATGAGCTGAGCAATATACAAAGTTAACCATAGATGCTAGAAATTAGATTTATTTGAGGCATTTGCAAACTACTCCACGCTAATCTGTCACTTTTTCCCCCGCATATATCATGTTATATATTTAAGATTTATGTAAAGTATTCTCCTTTTCCCAAAAAACAAAAATTACGTACATTTCCTTAGATTATAAAAAGTTGTTGATAGGTTAGTTATCTTATTTTTCAGAAAAAGACATCAACACCATTTAAAAGAATGTTAGTAAATTTTTATTACCAAAAGCTTGTGTATATTTTTTAAAACAAGAAGTATGTATATAAGTATATAAATTTTCGGAAAAATGTCCTTCTAATTTTAAATAATTGATTAAAGAATAAATGTTTTTACATATGCTCTTGGTTGTTGTTTTCTTATTATTATTTTTATTTTTTTTATAGACATGCATGCCCTTCTATGAAAAAGCATACAACACTTAAAAAATTTAAAACCAAATAGAAAATAATGAAAAGCTCATATATCTATGTGAAACAAACTCTATAAACAGGAATGTAGACGACGACACTGAATTGATGCAACCTAATTTAGTAGTAGCCAATTTCATTCATGGCTCTTCCTGCTATCATTTAACCTACTTGCTGGGGAAAAAAAATCTCTCTTTTTTTCCCTATCTCTCTGCCAAACCCCATCTTTTTCTTTTTGTTTGATTCTGTGGATTTCCAACAACATCCCAACTATTTTCAAACCCCTAAATAATTAATCATCCACTCCCAGTTCCATATATTTATTTTAATTATTCATTTATTTAGTAAACCATTTAAAAATAGGAAAAATCTAAAAAAATGATTGTTGAATTTCAAAATCTCAAATCAGTATTGGTTACTATACTCGTAAAAAAAACCTACACTCAAAAAACAAATAATAATATATTTTTGTAGTAATTCTTTTTGAAATTCAACGATCACTTTTTTGAGATTTTCTCTTAAAAATATAATATTCTGTAGACAAGGAGGGAGCTATAGATACACACACGTTATAAGATTCGTACAAGGCTATGTGCAAAGACATCTTTGATTGATCTACGAATGGTCGATGTCTTTAAGAGAATCTTTGGCTGTCATAATATGGCCACCAATAGAATTTTGAGGTTGACGACGAAATTAACGGGTTTGCCAGCTTCATCTTCCATTTTCAACCTTATTGTTTACGATTATATATACATAACATATCACTTTTTCACAGCTGTAAGCTAGCTATGGTGGTGTCTGCATTTATAAAATATATATTCAAATGAAGATTTCATATGTGATTTTGTTTATAATTCCTTTGGAAAGTTTAGTTTGGCTCTTGGAATATAAAAAGGTAAATAGGATATGTGTAAATCAATATCTTTTCTAATATTTGTTCCTAATAATGAGGACGTTGTTGGATAATTACGATGGAAATCAAAATTGATAAAGAGAGATGATGAATAAGATTAATTTTTGGT